TATTAATTCTTTAATTTAACCATTAATTAATTAATTAATTAATGGTTAAATTAATGAATGAATTAATTAATTTTCATTCATTCATTCATTCATTCATTCATTCATTCATTCATTCATTCATTCATTCGTTCGTTCGTTCGTTCATTCATTCATTCATTCATTCATTTACTCGTCTCTTCTTCTCTCTATCCACCAATCCATTCAGTCATCCTTTATGTCGTTAAATCGATGTAGGTGTGTAAATATTTTGGGATTTACACGTGTGTTGAATGTATATGCATGTTTATGAGTGAATATGTGTGTTTGCGTGAATGTGTGTATGTGCGTGTGTGTTTGCGTGCGTGAATGTGTGTGTGTGTGTGTGTGTGTACGTACGTCATTTCTGGGATATAGGATATCGTTTTGTCCGTTCATCATTACCTTCACTTGTTTCATTACATCAGTTGGACTCATCTGATTAAGATGTTGATATTATCACTATCGTCATCGCCATCTCGTTGTAAGCATCATCATCATCATCGTTATCATCATCATCATCGTCGTTATCACCACCATCATCATCAACAACAACAACAACAAAACCATTAATAATAATAATTATTATTATTATTATAATAATATAATTATAATAATAATTATTATTATTATTATAACAACAATAACAATAATAACAACAATATAACTTACATTACTCAATTTAAAATGACGCGACAAACAGTCGTATCTATCGGCAAGAATCTTCAAGTTAACGTCATTCCAGGAACCCGCAGAAGAGTCGATGTAATTATTATTATTATTGTTATTATTATTATTATTGCTGTTGTTATTGTTATTTCTACTATTGCTGTTCATTTTTTCAATTAACAAAGGAGGCCCTGAATTAATAATGACGTCTGATGACAATAATTAATGAGTAGAAGTAGCAGTAAGAGTAGCAGCAGCAGCAGCAGTAATAGCAGCATTTGTAGTAGCGGTATTAGTAACAGCAGCAGTAGTAATAGTAACAACAGCAGCAGTAATAGTAATAGTAGTAGTAAAAGTAGTTATAGTAGCAGCAGCAGAAATAGTAGTAATAGAAAGATTTGGTGCTCGAAAATTATCAAATTGATAACACCAACCTGAAAAATTGTTATCACATTCGCCGCAATTATTTCTATCATTCTCACGCTTATCACAAATAAGACCGGCATTATTATCCTCATCATCGTCATCATTCTTTTCGCCATTAGTATCCTCATCATCGTCATCGGGTGGCGGTGTTGATGATGATGACCTTTTGAACTTCATCATCTTCTTCTTCGTCTCCAGCAGCATATCATCTATCCTCCAGCTCGTTGGTAACCATTCGACTACCTGATAATGATGATGGTGGCGATTTTTAAAACTGTACCAAAAACAAAACATACACACAGGAACACCTTTAAAAACTGTTCCAAATATTTGTTAACAACAAGATGGCGGGTGAGATAGTGAAGGTAGCCAATCAGATCATCGAGCTGGAGGGCGTTCAACAGATTATGACTATCTTTGGTCAGCAGAGACTCACGTGATATACTCAATCTTTCCATTTTTTCTTTCAATTTCACTCGTCTCATACTCAGTTTTCTGTCGTGTGGATGATTTTGTTATGCAAGTTTTGTATTGCTCTTGATCACCTGTTCATTTCCTTCATTCATATTATTATATTTCCATTCATTCGTTCATTCATTCATTCGTTCATTCGTTCGTTCGTTCGTTCGTTTGTTCACTCATTCGGTCATCAATCCAACATTTGTTTTTAATTTTCTTATTCATTTATTTTACGTAATTCATCTTTCATTTTAAACGTGAACACCGACCATATACACAAACACTTATGAAAATTAGTACGCAAATTAGTATGCAAATTAGTATGCAAATTATTACAAATATGCAAAAATATGTGTAAAAGCGTACTCCAAGACCATAGATGTTACTACACCGAGACATCTATGTATGTCCAAGACAAATAAAAACCTCAATTTATTTTTAAACATTTCATTCATCCTTCCAACATTTCCAGGGGTTGACATCTTGACTTTTGTCCTTTCATTCCATTCGTTTAGTAGGAGACACTCGATATTACGAACTTCGTTATACCTTAGCGTGTAGTGCTGTGTTGGATGATTCACGCGATGACGATACGACAAACATTTGGATTAATCCAAAAATGACGAAAAACTTGATAAACAAATTAATAAACCTTGATTAAACGTTTAAATAAACTTACAATTAAAAAGTTATAAACATTTACAAAATGCATATATACTTCAAGCATGAGCAATGGCAGACCGTCTGCGTCATAATCCGAGTGGAGGATGGAATTAATTTCATCCATGACGTCATCGCCTAAGTCATGAAAAACCCCCAAACGATGGTGGCCCTTGTTTGAAGATGTTAATTAATAAAGATAAATGAATCAGCTAAAGATCGTACTCCAGGTTTTTGCTATTTGAACCTTCAAATTAGAAAAATTTGGCGCCTACCTCGAAGATCTTTTTGAAGAGGTAATCTCTTTCAATTGAGAAATAAGCGAAATCAATCGGGAGAGAGACGTTTCTTAAGTAATAAATAGGTAGAACTAGTTTTTTAAAATCAATAAAACGAGCTTATGATCGCAAAATTGTGTCAATGATATCATGAACAAGATGTTTGAAACTTTAAAAATCAGACTTGATCCAAGAACGAAGAGACGGTCCACAATCACCTCCTCCTCCGTCATCATTGAAGTCATTGGCGACAACGTTTCTCTCTACAAACTCTCTCACCTCATCATAAATTAACTTCAAATTATTTTCACAATTTTTTAACTTTTCAGAATTTCTTGCTTCGTACAAATCTTCAGACATTTCAAACAGCAAGTGATGCGTTACCACGGAAACCAGAACAAGCACTTGAGCGAGTGCTCAACATCGAGCTAATTTCGAAGCGCATAATTTTTTACCTAGACTCCTACCAAATAAACAAACATACAATTGTCTAGCTTTTTTAATTTTATTCATAAACGAGCAATCAACGAACGGATCATCATAAGCCAAAATAGCCAAGAAGATATAGGAAACAGGACAGCTTGAACGTACATGCGTACAACATCGAAGAATCTAAATGTATATGCGACAGAAGGTGAGACAATATACCTACATAAACGCATAGACACATATATAGAAAACACATTCTTAAGGACACATAAAAGGTATTTAGCACATTTAATTATACATATTTGTAACCATCAAACATAGAACACATACATTATGAAACGTACACGTATATACACTAACATATCGTACGCATATCGTTATAAAGAAGCGATTGTTGTAAGGCACTTGATAAAAGATCACTTATGAAAATTGACGTTGAAAACCATCCTCCTCATCATCATCATCATAGCAATCACAAACTATTGCATCACTCTTATCACCACAATCGTCAGGTGTATCGTTCTGTTCATATATGCTGTCATGCGAGCCCAATAACTATACACATAGAGTCGCTATGAATCATTTACAATCCTTGAAAAAACTGATGGGGCACGTAGCAATTTAATGATCTTATTACATCACCGAGAAACATCATCAACATTTATTCCATCATCACCTCATCGCATATGACGCTATCATCATCATCATTTATTTCATCATCATCATACACTCGTACCATTTTTTTATAATGAAAAATTCGTTAACACCATACCAACAAACACCATAAAAAAACTAACCAACTGAGAAAAAAAAATAGCTAAACATTCTAGTCAGTAGCAGAACCACAATCACTATAAATAAATACACATAGAGAGGCAAAATATAACACAACACACACAGATAAACAGACAGACACACACCCACGATACAGAATATAGGTAGAACAAGGGAAAAAAATATATACTAAATCTAGAATAAACTTTAAATTTTATTAAATTATGAATTTGCAAAAGAAAATAACGATTTCAAAAGTCCAATGACCAATCAATCAATCAACCGATCAATCAACCGATCAATCAACCGATCAATCAATCGATCAATCAATCGATCAATCAATCGATCAATCAATCAATCAATCAATCAATCAATCGATCAATCATTTATTACCGAAACTAGATAGAAAACATTGAAAATAAATTTAATTTTTAACAGGTCAACGAGTGAATGAATGAATGAGTGACTGGAAAAAAAGAATGCGTTATTAAAAGGATAAATGAAAGAATGCAATATTGATTAAACGAATGAATGAATGAAAGAACGTAACTTGTAATGAATGAATAAACGAATGCACCACTAAATGAGTAAAAATATTACATTTGTAAACAAACATGTGAAACAAAAATTAACTATGAACAGCTCAGAGAGAGAGAGAGAGAGAGAGAGAGAGAGAGAGAGAGAGAGAGAGAGAGAGAGAGAGAGAGAGGAAGAGAGAGAGAGGAAGAGAGAGAGAGAGGAAGAGAGAGAGAGAGAGGAAGAGAGAGAGAGGAAGAGAGAGAGAGGAAGATAGGAACATAATCACATCGATAAAATACAGAAAAATGATTAATAATAATAATAATAAATAATAATAGCCAGGAACAAGGCATTATCATTAAATTCATTTATATCATGATACAAAACTCTACCCAAATGCAAAACGAGCCAACTGCTCATAAAACCAGCTCATTCTCTCATTTATCCATCCATTCCTTTCCTTCATACTTTCACTTAATCCTTTAAACATTCACTTAGTAGCATGATGATTGCTCATTCAATTCACACGCTCATCCACTCATAAACTAACTCATTCAAATAGCAGTTTAAACAACTATACAAGGACGACAAACGAATTAACCAAACAACAATCTCTTTATTATCTCAAGCCAAATAAAAAACCAGTCACTAAATAGATAAATAGAGAGGCATAGATTTAATGCAACGCTTTCAAAAGTGTAATAATTAACCAATTAAATAACCAATCAATCAATCAAATATTTGATTAATTAATTAATTAACTAATTAAAATTAATTAGAGACTACATCTTGCTCGTGCGACACACACTCGACGATCTGTTGTTGTTGTTGCGTTGTTAAGTTGAGCCACAAGTCTGGGCTGATTGTCTGCAGTTGTTCAGTTGTGGCTACCACGATCCTAAAATTTTTGTTGTTAAAAGTTGAACTGTTACTGATGTCATTAGACAAGGTAGTTGAGGCTGCTGTCGTGCCATTTGTGTAGTTGCCGTTGTTGATCATGGGAGTGTTTATGGGGACGGCCCGACGTAGGCATGCAGGGGACCTCAACGTCTCAAGAAGACTTTGAAGTTTCATGCGGTCAGAGTTGACGCAATCTGGACTTTCTATGGCTGCAGTAGGACTGTTCACCAAGTCCTGGATCTCTGAAACTGAGAAACCGACTTTTGATCGCAAATCACAGACAAATTTGTAATGGAATCGCTTGCTGGGAACTTTGTGGATGATGTCTCCGTCGTAGTAGTACCGCATAGCTCGGGACATCTTCTCGTACGTCATGCCCGTTCTGTTCTTCTTGCAGCCCCACAACTGAGCCACGCCCTCCGGGTTAATCAGATGGAACTCTCCATCTCGACCGACCCATTCAACCATGTGGCGGTGTGATTGGTCGATGAGGATTTCAAGTAGAAACTGCCAGAGTTGCACCTGGCCATTCAACCCTGTTCATGTACATGGAGTAAGAAGATTGTTCATTTGAATGTTACAGAAATTAAAAATCAACAGCACTCTTGATACCTATGCGGCCAAAATCAGTAAACATCTTTTATTAGTTATGAAAACTTCAGTTGAGAAAATAAATAAAACAAAAGTGAAACATAGAAATGACTGACCTCTGCCTTTACTAGGGTTGTTCATTGCTGGGTTGACCTGGACATCATTGAGAGCTGAAGAGAGTTAACAAGATGGACAATGTAGAAAAGTTCAAATGCAAAACAAATAACACCATCAAAATATTGCAGCTACAATTGAACAATAAATAAAAATTGAAATTTGTTAACTTGAAGAAAAAACTTGAAAAATCAATAGAGAGAAAAAAGTTGAAGAACATACTAGCAATGTGCAACTTCTTAAGCAGCTGAATATGCGTCCAGAACAAATTATTGACATCTCTTGGTGCTAGAACTTGGGCGTCCTTCAGCTGCCACTGACAAACCTCGACGCCTGTCACATTGATATCATCTGAGTGGGGGTCGAAGTCAAAGGGAAAGTGAGATGAGGCCCACCGTAACCACAACCTCACGTGGTCGCACGTCCAATCCTCCAGGCCTGCAATAATACGTAGAGAGACATACAACAGCAGCCATGAGCACAACTTGGTTTATGTATATAAGCTCAACCAGCAAACTATTTAGCATGCTTTGTCAAATCTATGTTAAACCACCATAACATAAATTTCTGTAATTATCGATACAGTCTCCAGAACAAAAAAGAAACATACGTGTCGGAATGTTATTGGCCACTTGGATGGTCTTGAACACTGGATCGGCTGACCAGTTAGGAAATTGTCTAGACTGTAAGGCTTGATTGCTGACAGATGGTGGAGGTTTTGTCTTCACAGTTCGTTGTCGTTTAGGTTTTATTGTTGTTGTCACCTGATCTGTAGCTACATGATCAAAATTCAAAATGTATTAGACTAATGTAAATCACAGCGGTTAAATCCATAAATTTGAACTATATAAACATATGTAAGTTAAAAATCTTTTTGAAAATACAATTAAGCCTACCATATATCAAGATTTGACTTATGACCAAACAGCCAAATGACCAAGCCAGCCAACCAACCAGTTAGCCAGCCAAACAACTAAATCATAAGAACAACTAACATGTTTCATCACAAGGCACCAGTATGTCTGATATGTTTATTCTTATTTTCTTATTATCTAGTCTGGCTCGCACATCAATGTTCACCTGTATGTTCTCCCCCTCCATCTCAACGCAGCACCATTTCAAACTCTTCGATTCATCCAACTGCGGTCGTATTTAAGAGTATATTGTATTGTTCCAATTCATTCATTATTATTTTTTAATCTCATCTGTAACATTTCTAAATAAAAAGATTAATCTTTTTAGATTTTATTCTCAACTTAGTGAATTTGTTCTAGCTTACATTTTGTTACTTTGATTAAAAACAAATCTAAGTTGTCAATGTTTACTTGGTATCATTAATAATAATAGCATCAATTACTCTTGTTAATTAATCATCCTATTTGCAGTACTCCTAAGGAAGATTTATTTCAAGCATATGAAACAGCACTACTTGGAAATAATCTAAACAGCAATAATAGCTAAACTACCATTATGCTTATCTGCTTGGAGAAGATAATGGATATATAATTACTAACACAGCTCAATAACATACATAATACCATCGATAATAAACTATACATGATATTTAATATTATACAATGTAGTTAAAAAAATTTCTTGAAATAAATAATAATAATAAATAATAATAATAAATAATAATAATACCTTATCATTGTTTTGAAGCCAGTATTCAACTTTTTTGACATTTCCGTCGATTATACCATCGCTAACCAGAAGATCCCGGATATACCAGAGAGGCTGCGATAGATCCAGCTGCTGAATTCTTAAATTAATGGGCTCAAAATATTGATCGAGGCTTTCGTCTTCATCATCATCCTCATTGTTGTCATCACCATCGTTGATGATAATGCTGTCTGTACTGTTGATGTTGCTAACGTCATTACCTGTGTTGTCACTGACATTCTCGTCGTTGTCGTTTGTGTGACCATTAGTTTGATCGTCGTGATTTTTCAGCCCGTTCAATGCAAATTCATGTTCGTTGCATCCCTCGTACAAGCTGTTGTTGTTGTTGTCGCAGGAGTATTCAGACGCTGAGCCGTTTATGTGTTTCTGTTTGAAAGTTGAAGACGAATTCAATTTCAAAATGTGAAAATTAGTTTATTTTAAACATTACTTTGAATATTATAATTAAACATGGCAGAGATCTATTGTTAATTAAAAATGTTATCAGCACAAACATATACACACATCAACATGACATAAATGATTACTTTGAAAACATCTGCTGCTAACGTAAACTGCCCATCATCTTTACTGGCCGACACGTTGAGGAAATCGTGGATACTATTCAGGTCATCTGGCGTCTCAACTTTTATGAATAATGATTCCTGGGAGAATAATTTTATAATTATATTTTATTATAATTATGAAATGAACCAAATTTTTTTATCAATAACAAAACACTTCGACTATTTATATTTCAATTTTTGGTATTTACTAAAAAAAGGCATCTCAGTTTATGTGCTGGCTGAAAAAAAACTAAATCTCAGTAAGGAGCCGTTCGAATATTACGTAACGCTCCGGGGGGGAGGGGGGGTCTAAGATTTTGTTACGGAGTGTTACGGGGGGTTCAAAAATTGTTACGTAACACAAAAAAAATGTTGATTTTTATATTTTTCATTATTAATAAATTTAATTTTTCATTCTAAAACACAAATGTTAGTGTAGTTTTTATAGAATCTATGTTAATAAATGGTTAATGATCATATTTCTTTAAAATTGTCGTTTTCATCCATGAAACTTAGCAGTTATGAACATTCTGATAAAAAAACACGACGAATACAATGCATTTTCGTGACCGCGTGGTACATACGGAAAAAAATCAAAAAAAATTCTGCTTCTACTCTAAATTCAAAAATATTTGTACATAATGTTAACAAATGGTTAATTATCATATTTCTTTAAAATTGTCATTTTTACTCATGTTTTACTAAGTTTTTAAAAAAATATAAAATACACCACTCGTAGCGAATTGCCTGCTGTAAATGTGACTCACAACAACATAGAAAAAATATTTTTATAATAATACACATTTCTTTTATCGCTTATAACAACCGAAAATTATATAGATAGGCGCATTTTCGAAAAATAATAAATGATGATTGAATGAAATAAAATCAAATAAATGATGATTGAATGAAAGAATATAGGAAGAAAAATTTTTCTTGTGACAAGTTAAAAATCAAATTTGATCCAACGAGAGAAGAGTTATAAAAGGTTTAAAAAGTTAACTTTAGATTGTATAGTGTAGTTTAACGGTGACCGAAATTTTCAAGTTTGTGTTTCTCTTGCTGACATTTCTTTAAATTTTTAAAGTTCAAGTCGTATTTCTAGATTTAGGGTGAGTACAATTTCTTTAATTATGTTTTAATTATCTGAAATTGTTATTTTGGAAATTTTATTCTACATGATAATTTTAATTTTACTTTTTAACTGACCATTTTAGCATGGATAAAGATGACATGTTTAAAAAATTATTTAATGCATTTATAAAAGCTAATCCAAGCGGTCAAAAACAAAAAATTCAGCATGATTGTGTTAGTTTCTGGAATTCAATCAAGACTGCACCTGATTTTGTCCGCTTGTACAACACAAAGAAAGCTGAACTAGAGGGTACTACTAGGAAGCGATTAATTTCGTCTTTTTTCTTGTCAAAAGACGAGAACATTCCTTCCAATTTAAAGTCAAATGACAGCTCTTGTGGAATAATAAATTCTTGTTCTTCAACTTTTTCTGCTGTTCCATCAACTGCAAGCTGTTCAAAGTTAACTGTTTCGAATGACAAATGTCCAGCTCAGAAGCAACTCACGGAAGAACTGAATATTATTAACACAGATCTAGTAGGCTTAGTGGCACGCAACAATATGCGCATACTCACAGCTAAGCAGAAAGAAGAAATGGACACTAAGAAGGCGCGTAAACGACAAATTGAAAAGGATATAATTAAAAAAAAAGCTAATCAAGAGCGTCAGAAGAAATTTCGTATTGACAAGAAAGAAATACTGCAAAAAGTTATTGAAGAAAATCCTGAACTTGCTAAGAAATTAAAAACTTAAGAAAGTCCTGGGCGTCCGTCAATAGTGAGTGAACAGCCCGATTTGCTTAAATCGATATTAGACATTGCTGAATTTGGCTGCTCGGCTGACGAACGAAGACGAATGGAAACTTTGAGATGCGTTAAAACTTTAGATGAACTACATAAGGAACTATTGAATATGGGGTTCAAAATATCACGAACAGCTGTGTACTATCATCTCCTTCCAAAAAATTATAATACAGAAGACATGTCAGCACAGTTCCAGTGAAATTGATTCGTGCTACAAATGATCTCCATCGACAGCATCCAGATACTAAATTTGCTACTGATACGGTTCATCATCTTTGCGAGCTTGCTTCATTTTTTGGTCCGGCAAATACGACAGTCATTAGTCAAGATGACAAATGTCGAGTACCTATTGGCATCACGGCAGCCAAAATGCAAGCACCTATGCTTATGCATATGGAATATCGTGTAAGACTTCCAGATCACAATTGGGTTATCGGCGATCGGCATAAGTTAATACCATCTGTATACGCCGGCCTTGTAATATCTGAAAAAGGTTATGGTGCAAAAGAAGCTGTAACATACTCTGGTCCAACTTTAATCTCAATTCGATCAGGAAAACATTCTTCTTCAAATGCAATGAGTCATGCAAGAGACTTCGAGAGATTGATGAAACTTCCTGAATTTGATACTATAACGAAAACAATGGATCAAAATGCAAAGCCAATATTCATCTTTTTTGTTGATGGAGGACCAGATGAGAATCCTAGATATCCACACACTATTCAATCCGCCATCAGACAGTTTAAAAAGTACAATTTAGATGCAATATTTATTGCTAAAAATGCGCCAGGTCGCAGCGCATTTAATCAGGTTGAACGTCGAATGGCACCTTTAAGCAGAGAATTAAGTGGGGTAATTTTGCCGCATGATTTCTACGGAAGCCACCTTGATATTAATGGTAAAACAATTGATGAGAAGCTAGAAATTTTAAACTTTGAACATGCAGGTGAAACGTAGCAACCATCTTCGGTAATGTTGTAATTGACAACCATCCAGTCATTGCAAAATACTTTTGCCCAGAAAGACCCGAAATCGATTTAATAGATACAGCATGCATTGATGAAAAATGGAAAATGAATCATATTTGTTCTTCACAATACTTTTTGCAAATTTTGAAGTGCCAGGATCGAACATGCTGTACAGAGCCACGGAGCCCATTTTTCAACTTTTTTTCTCAACGTTTTTTGCCAGCACCTTTGCCACTAGTATACATTCAATCGCAAAGTCAACGTAGGTAAATTTATGAGCTTATTTCAAAATGAAGCATTTGCTAACCGTACACTCCCTTATGATTTTCACTGCCCATCCGTTAGTAGTACAGTACCAACGAGAGTTTGTATAGATTGTGGATTGTATTGTGCTTCACTGGAAATGTTGAAATCTCACCGAAAGTCAATCCACAATCGTATTGTCAATACCAAGAAGAAGCCGAAGAAAATCATAAAAAAGCGGAATGAAGAGTTGTTGGTGCAGTTGGATGATGATGTTGAATGGATGAATAGGGAAAATGTTGAATGTATTGAAGAAACAGAAGATGAGAATCCTGTAAATAATGAAGTACCAATAATATCTATTCAAACTCATTTGGAAAGTATATGGGAAGAAGATTGTTGATATTTTTTAACAATTCTGATTTTGATTTTAGAAACAACGCTAAATAAATACATTTGATGTATGATTTATTGAAAATAATAGAAATTTGAAATAATTTTGTTTTTTATTACCGAAAAATTAAAAATATTTTTTGTTATGTAACAGGGGGGGGTAAGTTGTTTGTTACAGAAGTGTTACGAAGGGGGGAGGGGGTCAAAAAAGTCGTTATTTCGTGTTACGTAATACTCGAACAGGTTACTAAAATTTATGTTGAAATAAAAATAATCTAGATAACCTAATTTCAAAGATTTCTAGTAATTTTATAAATAAGATAAAAAGTAACAAATCAACAAATGACACAAAAAAGGTGAGTGAAGTTAGTAGTGAAATTCCTGGCTAACTTCACACACCTACACAACACGGAACAATTTTAACCTGGTCAGGATTAATCATAAATGGTTCCTCGTTGTTAACGACATAACCAAAAACTGCGTTGTCATCGTCGTGGGGTTGAGTGTAATCATCCCCCAGGCCCACATCAGGGCAGCTGTAAAAAAATGCATCCATCATTCTTAATGATGCATTATTATTGAAATAAAAAAGTTCAGTGGTTATTATTATATTTAATAATTAATAAGATGAAATTGTTAAAGTTAACTGTAAAGCAAAAATGTAAAAAAAGTTTAAAGAACAATTATTAAAAAATTTAATTTAATAACTAAAAATTTAACAAAAAGATGTAGAAAAATTAAAAAATGCAAAAAATAAAAACAAGATTGGAATAAATTGGTAATGTTAAAAATTTAATTATTGGTAAAAAAAATTTAGTTTCAGGGTCAAAATTCGAAGCGCAATGGAGAAAGAAATGAACGAAACACGTGGTCGGTGGGCAGTAAAAAGGAGGAACAATGGATGATTGCTAACTTTTGGTACTCGAATGGCTTAGTCTTCTTCACTGTCCCTAAATTTTCTAGGATGAATCTCTCGTCGTCTTCCCCGTCCATTTTTCTTTTCGACATGATTTTCCAGCTTTTTTTTATCGTTAACAACAAAACAATGGTTGAAGAATCCCGCTGCACGGTTGGAAAATAAAATTATCATTCCAGACATGTGATGCGTGGAAAAATTTTTTAATATCAACATCTAAGACGAGAAACAATATGAATTTATGAAATTTAAAGAACTCAATAAATAAATTAATAATTTATTTATTATCATAGGAAGGAAAAGGTTTGAAATAAATCTTAAAATGAAATTTAAGCACCAAAACATTAATTTAGGTTCTTCCTTCCGGATTTTCTCGCATATGCCACGACGGTGCGCCGTTCGTCAAAATAGCCGTCTCTAACTTTTCTACGGAATTAAAAAAAATATCTTAAAAATATATTTATCAATTTAACAAAATCTATATCGAAGGATACTAAACGATCGATAAAAAACGTAAAAATGAAAATTTGAGCGCTGGGACGTGACAATAATATGAGCGAATCGCAAAGTTAAGGGCACGCACGTTTTGTGTGGCGTGCGTGAATGTGGAGACTAATTAATATTCATGAGCTTAGCCCAAGTGCATTTTAGTTCTTTGTTAATAAATTGGCCATCGTTCTATGGTTCTATGCATCTTGAATACTTATTATTGGTTTATACTAAGATTTTCTTATTAAAACTTCATTTTACTGAGTTGATATTTTTATTTTTCTTAAAATTGCTTGCCATATGTCAGATATCATTCATAATATAATACCGTTGTTGGTTTTTAACAATGCACTTGACTTTTCAAAAATGCTTTGTAGGCTGATGAACTAAAAGGCAATGAATATCTTTCTTTTGCTGGGTTTTCGCGAATTTCCGCAACAAACTTTAACTAATTTTATATCTTCTGTATTCTTTTCCTCTTATTTCATGGACCAAATATGCAAATCATTCAAAATCAGAGCCTCAAAAGCATGCAATTAAAATACAGTTGTGACGGACATGGTCAGCGAAGGACAATCTACCTGTGTATAACCAATCACATGTCAGCAAACATCCGTCTCCTCTAGTCTTATGATAATTTAGTGAATTGGGAAAAAACTATTCTATGTATTTAGCGTTTTGTTATGTAAATAAAGACACATAAAACTAAAAAAATTTTCAAGTTCATTTTTTCAATAATGGATAACGTTAACAATAAATCTAGATTTACATGTTAATATAACATTCATTTTATTGGTCGAAATAGGAATTAATTAGAACCAAATCAAGAGAAAATGAACGAAACAAAAATCAATAATCTGTAATCAATAAGAAACATATAAGAACGAATAATAAATTGAAATACTGAAATTGATATATACGTACAATCACTTACGCCATTGTACAATACAATTGACACTACACTTTAACATTTTACTAGCTAATAATAATTTAACAAAACACACACACAGACACACACACAAACATTAATATTATTATTGAAGAAAAAACACAAAATATATCGATGTTAATGGCGTAGGAAACATAAAATTGAAAAAAAAAACAGGAAGAAAACGTTTTGAGTTTTTATAATATTTTGGAATTAAATGAATTGAGCTAAAAAATAGATAAATAAATGATTGTTAACAATTATAAATTAATATGAGAACATGATTTGGAAATTTATAATATAAATATATACATATATATAATAATAATAATTTTTCAATGTATTATACATTATACATTACAAGTCAAAAAATCTTTTGCTATAATAACGTAACGTTACACTACTCAGCTTATAACAACAAACGATGATAATAATAATCTGCAGGAAAACAAACTTGAAAAAAAAAGTGTTCTTGTCGCTACTACTACCACTGCTACTACTTTTATTGTAGCTGCTACAACTTTTACTACTACTGCTACTACTACAACTGTTCCTACTACTACTACTACTGCAACAGTACTACAATTGCTCCTAACTACTGCTACAACAACTGATCACGTTAAATAATGCTGCTACTACTGTTACTACTACTCAGTATAGTAATAATACTGGCTACAAATACTACACCCATTGCTACAACTACCGCTACAGGGAAAAACGTTGCTTTCTAGGTTAAATTTTAAGATAAATAATTTAGCATAATGAAAAATGACACACATAAAAAAATATATCCCAGTTTAATAAGTGATAATAATAGAGACATATTCTCTCTCTGTCTCTCTCTCTCTCTCTCTCTCACTTTTTATTTACTTCTCTGTTCTTCTCTATATAACAATTCGAAAAAAAATAACAAATAAGAATTAAAAAACAATGAACAAATTAAATTAAATCAATAAACAAATTAATAGAAAAAGAGTAATGACACAATTACCTAGCGATATAATAAATTATACTAACATAATAATGCAATGATCTAATTGGATGATGGGCTGATTATCATTGTTCGTGAGTAAATAACTCTATAAAGTAATAATTAGGAAGATGAGATTTACCATATAAAACAGTATATAGCACAATTAAATAGAAACAACATAACATTTATAATAAGCACATAGACATAATCACAGGCAAAGACCGACAGACAGACACCACACACACCAGACAGACAAAACACACACACACAGACACACATTCACGACTATCACCAAATATTTAAAAAACGATAAATGATAACAATATCGAACAAAGAAAAATCATAATATAATTAATCTTTCCAATTGACAGCAAAAAAATGGTCAGAAATAAGAATAAAATACAACATATAATCCTAATTTAGATATATACATACATATTCATACATTCATTCTTTTCTTCATTCATTCATTCATTAATCCTCATTTATTTATATATATTAGGAGACCATATTTTACACAGTAGTGTATGAATTCTACCAAATTGTTGGCATTAACCAATTTAAAGTTTGTCATTTAAATTTTTCTCACGAGAATTTTCTGGAAATTGTCCAATGTATATATGTATATAACGAAAGTACAAAAACCTTCGCTTAAACTTTTTTAAAATTCAGGCTGCCAAATAAAAATTTTGAATTAAAATGTAAAAAATGCAACAACAACAAAAAATTTATATGCCAAGTTGAATTTTGTACTAAGCTCGCTGTTCGCCTACCTCTGATATCTATATTGTACAATAATAATAATAATAATAATAAGAATAATAATAATAATAATAACAACAACAATGGTATGAATAATTTGAATGATGATATACATATAATAAAATTTGAAGCCACTAAGTAATCAAGAACCACAAAACCACAGTTTTTTTTACAAACTATAATATAATAATGTTTTTTATCTCTCTCTTTCTCTCCCTCTATCTCTTTCTCTCCCTCTCTCTCTTCCTTTCGTTATTTTAAATATATACGTTACACATATGTAGCAGTGAACAAGAAAATAATATACACGTACGCACACAAAAAAAACACGAATCATAATTTTAAATTAAATTATATACACACACACACGCGCGCGCGCGCACAGACAAACAGACAAACAGACATACAAATACATAGAAACACACACATACATAGGTGTATATGTGTGTGTATAAAAGAGTAATGAATGAATGAATGAATGAATGAATGAATGAATGAATGAATGAATGAATGAATGAATGAATGAATGAATGAATGAATGAATGAATGATTAAATAAGTTTATTATTACATAAAACTATTCATAAGTTATGCAAGCCCTGCATTATTAGCTGGTTGAGAGTCATGAAGTAAATCTGGCAAGATGATCCACTCTTTATCGACGTAAAAAACACCTTGGGAAAAAAAGCCAAACAGTCATTAATTAATTAGAGATAGATAGAAAGATAGATAGATAGATAGAAAGAAAGATAGATAGGTAGGTAGGTAGGCAGGCAGGCAGGCAGGCAGGCAGGCAGGCAGGCAGGCAGGCAGGCAGGCAGGCAGGCAGGCAGGCAGGCAGGCAGGCAGGCAGGCAGGCAGGCAGGCAGGCAGGCAGGCAGGCAGGCAGGCAGGCAGGCAGGCAGGTAGTAGATAGATAGATAGATAGATAGATAGATAGATAGATAGATAGATAGATAGATAGATAGATAGATAGATAGATAGATAGATAGATAGATAGATAGATAGATAGATAGATAGATAGATAGATAGATAGATAGATAGATAGATAGATAGATAGATAGATAGATAGATAGATAGATAGATAGATAGATAGATAGACAGACAGAGAAAGAAAGGAAGAAAAAATCACCTAAATGGTAAAAAGTTAATCTCATAGTTAACGAAAATATCAAAACTAAAAAAATTAAAAAAAAAAATCACTACCTTGTCATTCCGCTCACACAAAAATTTCAATTTCTGATCCCTCTTATGCATAAAGACCCCATCCAAATGACCCGTTTCCGCTGACCTAATTTCGATGGCCTTTTGACCCCACCCCATAATCTGACCCGTGCTTATGTAGGCTATCGAGGAGGGCATTTCACCCCATTGGAGTATGACATTCTTCGTTAGGTTACCGTCCGTGTCTATGTAGACGCCCTCGTCTGGATTAAAGTGGGGTTAATTTGGGGGTGGATATCAAATTTGCATTCATTTAATTAAGTAGCTAACTAACCAATCATTACCATTGTGAATCACGCATAACTTTAACTAATGAATTAATTAGTAATTGATTGAATGAATGAATGAGTGAGCAGATAGAAATTAAGATTACATGTCTACTCACTGTCATAACAGAGTAGAAGGTTCATGCCATTGCCAGAGGGGAGGATGACGATTGCTTGCGGGGTCAGGGTCGTTGTTGTTGTCTGCGTGGGTGGATGTGGAATGTGGACGTGTGTGTGTAGGTCATTCAATGTGGTACAATATGATAGACATTTAAAATAGTAACGTCAACAGGAATAATAAGCGAATGATCGGATCTCTCTTAACAAGCACTAAAACGACAATGAAAACCAACATCGTAACGGTCGGACAAACAAATTACATACAAACATAACATACAAACATAAAAATTGCATACAGACATACAAACAGACTAGGAGAAAAATAAATAAACACACAGACGGACAGACGAACTGACACAGACAAACAGACAGAGAGATAAAAAAAAACTTCAAATCTAACGAGGTGAGGAACGTAGATGTCTGTAACAGTTGAACTATCGAGATCGATCTTATGGAAACCCCTATTCGAGCCGTAAATGACCTTTAACCTTTGACCTTCCTCTATGGTCAGGTCAACCAGTAGAGGAACATCGGGCAGAAATGGAAAGGCCTAAAGAGACAGTCAATATTAAACTAACACATTTAAGAAATGTAACAATAAAAATATTAAAATAACAACGATAATAATAATAATAAAAATAGAGTGAATACATAGTGTTGAAAAACATTAACATAGTTACAAATCACCACCAACAACCTATCACCATAGATATTATGAAAACATTTTTAAAACAACATCAGTAAAAATGACATTAAATGTTTTTTTCTACAATCCTCTCAAGCATTCCTCTCAGAGTTTACAACAATTAAACACACAAACACACACGCACACACGTGTATCAGTGCATTTCACACAACACTCAACGCATGTGCTTGACAGGTTGGGGTCTCCTGGCATTCGAAACCAATCGCTGCAACAGCAGTGCCAGACAGGTTAACCACTACACTACCAATCCATACAGAGTAGAGACTGACTGACCTTGAAAGCCATGAACTTATGGTAAGGTTTGGGGGCCCAAGCATAAATTTCGACGGAATCTTTGACGGCCACGACGATGAATTTGATCCTTTCGTACTTGACAATTTTGAAGTGGACGCATTCCTCGAGGTCGCCAACCACCATGAAGCCGGCCTTTTTATCGCCCTGTTACGACCAATTTACGTTTCAAACCTTGCTTTCATTTAATAACCAACGAAAAATATTCAACGAAATTGTTGAAATGTTTTACAATTTAAAGCTGCAACTCATTCAATATCACGAAGAGCTAATGAAAATAATCGATCAGTCAACCAGATAACAAACCAGCCGACCAAAAGACTATTTGTTTATTCATCCAGTCATTCATCCATTCATTCATTCATTCATTCATTCATTCATTCATTCATTCATTCATTCATTCATTCATTCATTCATTCATTCATTCCAGCCAACTAACTCACCCCTTCAGTTTTGAGTATCTTAGTCTTCAGCCATGAAAGATAGTAGACCCTAATTTTATTCTTCTTCCCGGATACAGTGACCAAGATGTTCTGGCCCTCCAGGACTTCCATCTGCTGGAAACGTCGCCTCGATATCAACTGGTAGACTGAAAAATTTACAGAGAGGAGGAATAAATGAATGAATGAATGAATGAATAAATGAATGAATGAATGAATGGATAAATGATTGAGTAGTGGACAGATGAATGAACAAATAAATGACTGTAAATGAATGAGTAAATGAATGGATGGATGAATAAATATAGTGGTGATTATGACGTCACTAATTACGTCAGCGTACCTTTTCCTTGTCCACTTCTGTCCAGTAGCATGAGGCCATTCTCAGTCCCGATCAACAGATTCACACCTTTGTGGGAGTCAACACAAATTGGATCACTAGCAAAATTCCGCTAATTTTAAATAACTACTTAAACGAAATTACAGAATCTAATGAACAAATGTTGTTAGAATATTAACTTAAAAAATGTTTCTTAACAGACAAAAAGACGAAAAAAATCAGTAAAGCCTAAATATTTGTTTAAAAATTCTCTTACACGGTAAAATAAAAATGAAAAAAAAACTGAACCGCACGTACCCCACAGGGCTGCGCACAAAATATCAGAATTGAACTTCTTTTTGTACTTCCTAATTTCTGGTGCCTCATCCTCCCCCCCTGCTAGCCCGCTGTTCTGGGCTGCCGGGGTCAAGCTCACCTTGACCGCCCCGTTGCCACTGCCGAAACCGTAAGGTACGAAATTCTCACTGTCGTCTTCGCGGGTTGAATGAATGTTGTTGCTGTTCGTCGATTTCTGTGGAGTCAGGTTCGTAAAGTGGCAATGAACAAGTGTTAGTGTCAAAAAGGCGATATATTATTGAGCGTGAACGTGACGTCTTTCAAATGTGTTGTGAAAGTTGTTTTCAAGAGCAAAAACAAAGCATATAGCCACAATCGCCGGCAGTCAATCCTAACTAAGATTTAAACTCAAAATCATACAGCAGCATTTTACACTGCAATACGAATAAAGAACGTACAACAGACAAACAAACCTGCAAGCGGTTACCACCACCACCACCGCCACTACCACCACTACCGCCAACAACTTCATCGGCATCATCATCGCCAACAATGATTGGAGGCAGGGGACGCTCTGTTCTTGTCACGCCCTCGCCCGACCTCGGAACTGCCTTGGGTGGGATTTGAGGGGGCAGGAGATCTGGAAGGACTCCAGAGAGCTGCTGCTGCTGCTGTTGACGATGTTGTTGGTGTTGTTGAAGCTGTTGATGATTAGGGTAAGATATGCGGTTAGACTGGGAGGCCAGTGGCGGCGTGACGTCATCTTTGTTGGGTCGTCGAAGGGGCTGTCCAGCTGGCACCTGCTGTGACCCTCCTCCCGATTGCACGCGACGACGTTCGGCCACTACTGGTGGCTGCATGTTGCTGTTGACGTTGCTGTTAGGGCGATTGTTGTTGCTGGGCATGTTATCAGGACTAGACTCTGTTTTCTGTTCGAAATAATAAGTATATCCTTCTATCATCCATCCATCCATCTGTCCATTCATTCATTCATTAATTCATTCATTCATTCATTCGCTCATCTGTATATAAGTTAAATAAATAAATATGAGATGAAGCTTTCATAACACACGCACAAAATAAAAATGCTAAAATAAAATTTCACAAAAAATATTCCCAGCATATTCATAGGGCGTGTTGCGAACTGCATGAAAAAGATCAAACGAAACAAACAAACACTGGCAACAAAATATGAACAACGTTAACTGAAATGTAAAGAGGATTGGTGGTAAAAATGGAATGAAACTCAAAAGAACGCACACAAAGAATGACGAAACAACTTAACAAATTAAGACTTTTGTTTCAATGTTTGGAACATATCTGAAAATTGCAAAATAAAAATAGGCAGGCAAAAACATAAGTTGACTAAAAATATTAGAGTCCATTCATTCATTCATTCATTCATTCATTCATTCATTCATTCATTCATTCATTCATTCATTCATTCACCCTTCCAACCATTTATTCATCTATCTATCTATCTATCTATCTATCTATCTATCTATCTATCTATCTATCTATCTATCTATCTATCTATCTATCTATCTATCTATCTATCTATCTATCTATCTATCTATCTATCTATCTATCTATCTATCTATCTATCTATCTATCTATCTATCTATCTATCTATCTATCTATCTATCTATCTATCTATCTATCTATCTATCTATCTATCTATCTATCTATCTATCTATCTATCTATCTATCTATCTATCTATCTATCTATCTATCTATCTATCTATCTATCTATCTATCTATCTATCTATCTATCTATCTATCTATCTATCTATCTATCTATCTATCTATCTATCTATCTATCTATCTATCTATCTATCTATCTATCTATCTATCTATCTATCCATACATTCATTCATTCATTCATTCCTCCTTTCTTTCCTACCAACAATCCATC